AATTTTAGAATCTAAAGAGAGGCCGCAGTGTGCTGGCCAATCAGAGCAAAGGTAACTGTTGTATAATGACGCTCTGTCACGCGAAAACAGAGTATTTCGAGGGAATTTTGAAAACTAAGACGGTTCTTGATGCGGGCAAAGCTTGACGTAAGTGTATGATGCGTAAGAAAGCTACTGGTCTAACTGCTCAGTCTTGTTCCCAGTGCCCTTTCTTCTCTTTTCAAATGACCAACAAAGCCTGGGAACGAGGTGGCATTTACACGATGGCGTCAGTTGAGTGAGTCGATTTTGCTGTCGACTTTGGTAACATTATCTTGAAGCAACTCACTTTGGAAAACATATGAACTTGTAAGATATGAGTAAAATGTTAAATTTAACTTATTGCCCACAATGCAGTAGTGGTTTGGTATGTACCTTAAAAATTAGACGTTTTGGTGTGAAGTATCACTCAGTATTTTTACGAGTTGTGCGAAAAACACTCCTAAAATCACACAGCGGTATTACCCACCAAAAGCGTCTAATGTCGAATAAGCTATTTATTTTCCAACTGCCAAATTTTATGGCTGTGTCTAAAGGTGGGACGGGAACGTGAAACCTGGGACGTGGGACCTGGGACCTGGGACGTGAGACCTGGGAAGTGGGAGCTGGGTCGTGGGAGTCTCCGAGTCCCACGTCTCCGAGTCCCACGTCTCCGAGTCCCACGTCTCCGAGTCCCACGTCTCCGAGTCCCACGTCTCCGAGTCACACGTCCCAGTCCCCACGTCCCCGTCCCACTTTTAGTCACAGCCTGTTGCGAGTTGACCTTGAAAACACTGTCTCGAAGCAGATCACTGTGAAAAACGTGTAAACTTCGAAGGTAAGAGTATAAATATTAGATTTAGCTTTTTACTGCAAAATGGCAGTAACGGTTGAGTTTGTATCTTATTATTAGACGTTTTGGTGTGAAGTATCACTGAGTAAATTTTTGCGAGTTCCTACGCTTATCTCATGTTGTCCCAACCTCCCGCGTGTTTACATCAGACTATGTAAACACGGAAACCATTTTACATTTCTTTTATAAAATAACTAATAAGAGAGGAACGAAAACCGTGTTTACATACGCCCATGTAAAATGGTTTTATGGCCAATCAGAGCGCGCGCACTGTTTGAATTATTTTATAATAAATAATTAATCATAACCATGACAATTTCCTCAAACATGATTGGTGCATTAGCTGCTTTATTTTTCCCTAATCATTCTGTAGAGCTGTAATTAAACAATATAATCGGACAGTTGGCTGTAATCGGACAGTTGGCTGTAATCAGACAGTTGGCTGTAATCAGACACCTGTAATTGCACAGTTGAAGAAGCCAATCATTCTAAGTCCACTCGGCCTAATCAATCAATCACAGAATTAATCACAATAAGCATAGCAACAGCCACTTATCCAAGAAAAAATTGAGGAATTTCCAAAATGGAGAAATTTTTTTACTGTAGATGTTGTCTCTACCAGAGATATTTGACCTGAATGTATTTGTTGTTTTTGGAAATTGCAATGGTTATGATTAATTGGTAACAAGACTTCTTGTTGTCCAATTCTGTCTGTAATCGTACTCATGATTAACAAATTGGACTCCTGCTTAGCGGTCGTCAATTTTGTTAATCACTCATATGATTGCAGACCCAATTGGACTCCACTGGGTCCTATTACCATTATTTATTTACTAGGTGTAATCATTGATGATGAAATGTGTTCATGGGGACGAAATTTAGGTTCTGGAGTACTCTGACTGGTGAACATGCCAGGAAGAGGATGGATTTATGAGAAATAAGCCATACTAGTAGTCTGGGGAGAAATGGAAAATGATAGTGTCCCAAACAGCTCACTTAAAAGTCTGGTGTGATTGTCCATGTCTGCCATTTTTCAGGAGGGGCCCAAGCTCCTTATGCAGTCAATTAAAGATATGTACCCAATAATTAATATAGAGCCTTTATCCATTGACACCTGAGTGTATTGCGTGCTTATGCAAAAGTTAAAATTTTGGAGAAACCAGGAAGGTGCAGGAAAGCAAACACAATGTGCAGCGAATTTTTATAAACCATCTTTCCCAAAAAACAAGCTCCAGTGAAAGAAGACCATTTAAATAACTTATTTTCAACAAAAAAACGATTAGATAAATATTTTTGCATATGTGCAAGCTGGTGTTTAAATGTGTCCACGAAACTCAGGCTTGCCTAGACTACTATGAAAATATTGGTTTTACAGACTATGGTCCGCAGACTATTATAACAACCTGGATGTCGGCAGCTGAGTTATAAAATAACTTGAGAGCCTTTACCCTAATAAACCTCCATGGAGCCTTAGAGTTGACCCTTTAACTCCCAGATCAAATTTGTAACTCTCCTTACTGTCAATCATACACTTCTTATAGTGTTAGTTTTGAGAATTTAGTATTGGATCAACTAATTATCCCCAAATTGATATATTTCTTTATTCTCATCACTTAGCTGGTTGATATTGTATTTGATATTGTAAGGAAAAATTCTGTCTTGGTCAATCATGGGAGTTTAAGTATTTTATATTGACTCAGCAATGAATATGTGTTATATGGAATTTACAGAAAGTACATGTTGTGTTGACCCTTTAATTCCCATGAGTGACCAAGATAGAATTTCCCCTTACAACATCAACACAGAATCAAGCCGACTAGTGGGGAGAATAAAGATGAAAACTCAATCAGGGGACTACAAGTTGATCCAATACCAAATTCTCCCAATTGAAATCATAAGTGCTTTAAGGCAGACAGTAGGGAGAATTACCAATGAGATCTTGGGAGTTAAAGGGTTAATCAAAATCAAAATATTTAGTTTTTGGTTTTGTGATCCTGAGATCCTGTGTAAGAGCTTGAAATAGAGTTGTCTTAGCAGTATGTCTTTTTGTTGATGCATCCAAACCAGGTTATAGAGAATTTTTTTTCCATTCCTCAAAATAGATTGGACGAGTGGTTTTCCTCTTTTTGTTACCACACGGTTCAATGGTGTTGCTATTCTTAACCCTTTAACTCCTGTGAGTGACCAAGACAGAATTTCTCCTTACTATATCAATACAATATCATGCAGACAAGTGATGAGAATAAAGAAAAATATCAATTATGGGATTACTAATTGATCTGATAGCTAATTCTCCAAGCTAACATAATGAAAATTGTATGGCAGACAGTAAGGAGAATTACTGATGAGAACTTGGGAGTTAAAGGATTAAGGATTTTTTTAGAAATGCTTGCAGTGCATGGTGGTCAAATCCATTAGGGCACCAGGAACCTTGGTTGTAGTCAGTGGCTCAGGTTCAGGAGTTTCAGTCATCTGAGCTTTCTCTCTTCAAATTGGATGGAATTGCTGCTTTCAGTTGAAAATACTGAAGAAAGTTTGTTTTGATTTATTCTAAATTTACTTTGCCATTTGCCAACTGTTAAAATGTTTTCATGTTCATTTAAGGTACAGTTTATCTTAAATGAGGAAGACTTTTTGATGAAACCGATGCTTCCAAATAACATGTTGTTTCCAATAGTTGTCAAATAAAGTGGTGATGCTTGCAGTTGAGCTGCAAAGGTTTAGAGTAGCCTTATTTTGGTAAATCCTACGTAACTTCTTTTGAGATGGCTGTTCCTTTGTCACCTGGTGCCATATGTGAAAGTTTCCTCTAAAGAAATGTAGACAAATAGACATAATTTGAGCTATGATATCAGTTTCTATGATTATTATGTTGGGAAAATGTATTTTAACCCTTCAACTCCCATGAGTGACCAAGACAGAATTTCTCCTTACAATATCAATACAATATCAACCAGGTAAGTTATGAGAATAGATAAATATATCAATTTGGAGTTAATTGGTTGATGCACTACTAAATTCTCTGAACTAGCTTTATAAGAATTTTATGATTAACAGTAAGGAGAATTAAAAATTTGATCTGGGAGGTAAAGGGTTAAAGAATGTGTTTTGAGAATAGTGAGGATTTGTCTTCTCAAATGGAAGAACAGGCAAAATTATACAGTTGGAATACTGTATCTCCATGTTCCATTGATGAGATTTAACACATAATTGTAGAAAAGGGCTAACCTCTACTAGGCAAAAAGCTGTTTATTAATACAAATTTTTTTTGGTATCACCAACACAATGTAAGTGCGCAAAGCTGTGTCAAAGGACTTGTTCTTGATGCACTTTTCTTTGTAGGGGCCAACTTAAATAAGGGTTTTGCCCTTTTGGCCACTGGCCAGCAATTATACGTCTGTGACTACCTTTGTTCATGGCAATTGATATAATAAAAGTTTCTGTCCCATAAAAGTATTGAAGTAAATTTAGAACAACATGCTGCCCAACTTTTCTGCCTATTCAAACTTTATCCACTCTGAAATTTGCCCCTTTGGTTGAATAAATGTTTTTCTTTTCCTTTAGCATTGTAGGTACCTTTTGCTGTCAAGGAGTGTTTTCCAGTTGATGCTTACATTGCAGATACAAAAAAATTGGTCCATTACTGACAAGGTACACAGAAAGTGGAAAGACATGTACAACGAATCTACAAAACCTGAAGGTAACTGGTGTGTGGAAAAGGCATCTGAATGCAAAACATTTGACAAGTGTTTTACACAAAAGGAACATCCACAAGTACATGAAAGATGCCACACTGGAGAGAGGCCATACCACTGCAAAACTTGTGACAAATGGTTGATTCAAAAAAGAGATCTACAAGTCCATGAGAAAAACCACACTGTAGTGAAGCCATACCAGTGCAAATCTTGTGACAAGAGGTTTACTCAGAAAGGAAATCTAGAAGCACATGAGAGATTCCACACTGGAGAAAAGCCATACCAGTGCAAAACATGTGACAAGTGGTTTGCACTAAAAGGAAATCTACGAGTACACGAAAGAACCCACTCTGGAGAGAAGCCATACCAGTGCAACTTTTGTGACAAGCGGTTTGCTCATAAAGGAAATCTAACAGTACATGAAAGAACCCACACAGGAGAGAAGCCATACCAGTGCAAAACATGTGATAAGTCGTTTAATCTAAGAAGAGATTTACGAGTCCATGAGAGATTCCACACTGGAGAGAAGCCACACCAGTGTAAAAATTGTGACAAGTGTTTTACTCGAAAAGAAATTCTAAAATTACATGAAAGATCACACACTGGAGTGAAGCCATACAAGTGTAAAACGTGTGACAGGCGTTTTGCTCGAAACGGAAATCTTCAAGTCCATGTAAGAACCCATACTGGAGAGAAGCCATACCAGTGCAAAACTTGTGACAAGTGGTTTGCTCAAAAGAGAAACCTACAGGTGCATGAAAGATCCCACACGGGAGAGAAGCCATACCAGTGCAAAACTTGTGACAAGTGGTTTTCACGAAAAGGAAATCTAACAGTACATGAAAGATCCCACACCGGAGAGAAGCCATTCCAGTGCAAAACATGTGACAAGTGGTTTGCTCAAAAAAGAGACGTACAGGTGCATGAAAGATCCCACACTGGAGAGAAGCCATACCAGTGCAAAACTTGTGACAAGAGGTTTGCTCAAAAAGGAAATCTAACAGTACATGAAAGATCCCACACTGGAGAGAAGCCATTCCAGTGCAAAACATGTGACATGTGGTTTAGTCATAAAACAACTCTGAGAGTACATGAAAGATCCCACACTGGAGAGAAGCCATACCAGTGCAAAGCTTGTGACAAGTGGTTCACTCGAAAAGGAAACCTAACAGTACATGAAAGATGCCACACTGGAGAGAAGCCATACCAGTGCAAAACATGTGACAAGTGGTTTACGCAAAAGGCAAGTCTACTGATACACAAAAGAACCCACGTAGGAGATAAGCCAAATCAGTGTAAATCTCGTGACAAGTTGTGTACCAATAATACTGATACACAAACCCATGAAAGATCGCACACAGGAGAGAAGCCATACCAGTGCAAAACGTGTGAGAGCTGTTTTACTCGAAAGGGAAGTCTACGAAAACATGAAAGACTGCACTCTGAATAGCAACCACATTCTTCTGATTTCGATGAAACATTCACTCGCTGGATTTTCCAGGAAGAACTGAACAGTGCTTTCCAGCTCTTTGGCCACTATAATCACTATGATAAACACATGAAGTAGAACAGTTTACCGTGTTATACGCAAGTTGCCTCAAATCTGCTTGCCTAGCAGATTTGCTTTTGGCTGATTCTCTCACACACGTCGGTACGCATTTACACAGCATTAATTCAGATTTTTTCTCTGTGTATTAGAGGTACATACTTTTTTTTTTAAGATCTGCTGCCACTTAAATATTCTTTGTATCCCTGTAAAATTATCCCTTTCAATGCCCGCATTACCCCATTGATTTCCCGTCCTGTCCAGTGTCGGAGAAGGGGGGAGGGGGGAATCGGATTATTTCAGTCGACTTGTGCGTGACTTCGTGCAAATATCTTAACTTGTAGAACGCAAATGTTTGTTGTTTAGGTAAATGTCATTGTTTTACGCATGAAAAAATTTAAATGGAAATAGGTGACTAAGGCAAAGATGACCAAACAGAACATACAACGTTGTGTTTTTAACTTATGTTGTCCTGGGAAAGTTATGTTCAATTATCAAGTTAACTCGCAAATTGTTTACAAAAGGAATATTTTGTATTGTTTGTAGCAGTAAGAGGAACCGGTTATCATTTATCGCTTTTTTTTTTGGGGGGGGAAGGAATTTTTTTACATGTAGTTAATGTTGCTCTTAGGTTCAGATTTCGTTATGAACACACTATGACTCGATAGACAGCTGTGATTTTCTCTCCTTGTCACCTGTCGAATGGTAACAATGCTGATGAACTAACTCTTGTAAATCAAGGGGAACGGGGGGGGAGGTCTGGAGGAATTTAGTTATGTTAAGAATGAATATACCTGACTCCCATCAAAAAGGCCCTATGAGTTTTTTATGACTTCCCCCTGCTACTTTGGCAGTTAATTGATAATTGGCAGGCAATTTTTTGTAGTCCCTAGTTTATTCTCTATTTGGGATGACTGATCCCTTTCCATCCCCCCTGAAAACCATGTGATCTTCCCAACGAAAATCATCCGCAAACCCCGTCCCTTCCCCCAACGCGATAAGTAATGACTGGTACCCAAGAGAATGAGATAATAGTCGGACAGTATGAAAAGTAATCATCGAAAATTTGAATTTAATTAGAAAACCCGATGCAACCTTTCGTAGTTTTAACTTGATTTAACAAATTAACGTTATTGCATCGACGTTCTGATTCTCGCTTTACAATAATATATTTTCATTTTTTTTTATTTTTATGGCTAATGCATGCTATGGATGTAAGGCCACTACGTTATCGAGATGCAAGAGTGATTGTAACAATAAAATTCCGAACTTCCGAATTCGACCCGATTATTGTTTGTTTCAGAGTATCTTGGTAGTTCGACATTCGCAATATAAATTATTGGGCCAATGGGCTTCTGTTGGGGGCATTAGACATAAAATAAAGAATATTGCGCTTTGAAACAAATTACTCGTTTTAAAATCATGCGTTTGTATAACTAGGGTTATTTACGTTATGTAGTTCTTTTTTCCTTTTCAAATCCCTATATCTACTAAGTCAGCTTAACAGCATTCACGAGAGAAAACTTGCCTGGGTTACTACATGAAGAGTTGTCATTTTGATGCTGGCACGTAGGCCTAATACCTTCTCCTTTCCCCTTCTACTCATGTAATGCCAAGATTTGTGCCGAAAATGCAGTTGTTAGTGCATGCTAAAAGTAGTATAAGGTCGGTCGGTCGGTCGGTCGGTCGTACGGTTGCATGATGGAACATATTTTGTCATATAAACTACAGTGTTACGGAAGGATTTCCAACCCTGAGAAAAGCCGTAACAAAGCACGAGAAAAAACGTGTCAGTTGCTGATACGTCACTCGCCTATCGCGCGACTCGGTCAGGTTAATGAATGAACGGCAAAGCCCTCACCAGTCAGTGTAAGGTCGTTTGTCGCCGGGAATTTTTTTTCGGATTATGGCCTCTAAAACACTGAAAAATCCCTATCGCTTACAGGCAATGAGGCTGAAACTTTCCTAGAATGGGAGGAAAAGCCGAAAGTTACGTATTCAGTGGCTTTGGTAACGGCGGCTTAGAACGAAAGTGTACATCTGGAAGGTTTGCCACAAGCCAATTTTAGCCGTGTACCTGAAAGATTTCTTCGGTCGGTAAGGAACAAATTAAAAACCGAGAATTTTGTACATTGAAAATTACGCCTATTGTTTGTTTTAGTAGTGTTTCAACGCAATTTTTCATCTTGAGCCTTAGCGCTAAAGCACTTTATGATCTTTATTCGGGGATTGTCGATTCTTTTATTTCCATTCATTAATAAAGCTGACTTTTCTTGCCAGGTAAAGGGCTATTGTGTTTAAATGATACACCAAATAATACATGGTTGCTTTTAGATATGAAATTTTTCTTCTCGTGTTCAACTCGGAATCTCACTCGTCAGCTGTCGAGTTAAACACTCGAAGAGAAATTCCATATCTACCCGCGCCCATGAATTAAACTTTATTTCTCGGCTGCGAGGACCACTACAATTTTTATGGTGCTTCGCTGCGCGCGCTTTGCACGCGCTACGAGCTCCACAATGAGAAGGACTCTACAGAATAAGGATAACTTTTGTTCCCTAAACGTTAAATATTGTAAAACATTTGAAAAAAAGTTTAAAATTCTGAGCTACTGTCATTATCTTAAACATTGCGGTTTATTATGGCCTCAAGGGTTCACATTCATCCTCGGCTTAGGAAACAGGATGTGAGATCACCTAATGAAAGCTACTTAGAAATGATAATAGGCAAATCCTTTTTCTCTCCAAGTCTTTTCCCATCTTTCAAAATGGTCAGATCCTTGATTAGTTCAAGCGTTTCTTCCACAAGTTTTTTGTCTGCTTTCTCACGAAAATGCGCGGTGTGTGTCTGGAAATCAAGGAGCTGACTTCTTTCTGTTGATTTCTCATCAAACACTTCGGTGACATCGATAGAATGTTTTCCGTGTATGCGTCATGTTTCCAGCCATTATCACCAGCAGATCGACTTAAAAGTTCGAAAAAATCAACGAATTTGAAGAGCAATAATTCGCTTGTTCATCCAATGCGCTGTTAAGTAGACATGTGTCACAACAAGGCGAAAAACGTAGAAAACTATATGGACAGGTGACAAGGAGAGAAAATCACAGCTGTCTATCGAGTCATAGTGCGTTCATAACAAAATCTGAACTTAAGAGCAACAGTAGCTGCGTATAAAAAAATCCCCCCCCCCAAAAAAAAGCGAATTGGATGTTACTGTAGTCTGAAATCCAGGTCTGGTGAAATCTGGTGCTCGAGTACACAATAATGGATCATTTCTTAATCATCACAAAGTCTTAGATCTGGAGGTTCTAAAACCGTCCAAGATCTGCATCACCACTGGGAGGTTTAAGAGGTATTCTGCTGTTGAAAACTGTCCGATACGTCAACTATTCTTAATTTGATTGACATTTATAAGTGATTTCGTTTATCTATACATAACAAAACAAACATGTATGCGGCACGTGTTTTATCGCTACATATATGGCACTGTTCCACGTGCTTACAACGAGACGTGGAGTGCGTGCTTCTTTCGAATAAGCGGAGAGGTGTAGGTGGGAGTTAACCGAACCGTTGTAGTAAAATCGTTAAATCAAGTGAATAAGCCGTGACTTAATAGGGAAGCGTGGTACAGCTTTTTCACACTGCTGAGGACCTTTCCAATGACCTTTACCTCATTCCTTTGGACACAGTGCATAGATCTATTGACATGCATAGATGAAAAACTGGATGCGTTGATGATCACCGATCTTCATTGGGAAGTCCTGCCTTCGATGGTGATTCAAAAATCGTAAAATTCAACATGGCTCGTAGAACTGGGAGATGTTTTCCGGTGTACTCGCCATTATCGGTTGAAATATTTTTGCACAACGGACACAAGTTAACTCCATCCAGAGTCTGACAAGAGCGCTTAGCAAACAAAACAGACAAAAGCCCAATTCTAACATTATTAAGATACTACTAGGGGTTGCTGATAGCAAGTTATGTGCTGCGAGGGGACGAATGAAATACAACAGCAACGACAACAAACTTTATTTGCACAACCATATATTTGCAAAAATTATTGCAAAAGTTAACTTAATTTACGTGGCAGGTTGTTTTTAAGCTACATCGCTGACGATTTATTGTGTAAATCAAAGTAAAATGAAACAATGATAGTAAAGGCAAGTAGCCTCTTCGATGTTCACGGTATTTTTATTTTGTTTTTTGTTCTGGATTTTGGTCATTGTGTGAACACTAAGAACAAAATGTAAATGGTCATGTTAATATTGCTCTTTGGAGTTCAACAAGTAACAGGAACTAGAAAATTGGTAAGAGCTATACGACAGTAATTTCACAAATCTGTGATTTGTTTGTCTTATAAATTAAGATTTCTTGAAGAGAACAAGAACTCAAGGAAATCACTGATTAATTTTAGAAGCTATATAACATATTTAAAACTGTATATTATCAAGATTTCTAAGCATCTAAAAGCTCAAGCCATTGTGAATTGTTTTGAAGTCAATTCTAGATGTTTTAACATCTAATCAAAGTTGTCTTACCTGTATTTGATTTGTTACATAATAAATAAACAAATGGATAACTCTCTTGTAACCGAACAAGTAATGTGAACTTAATGACTTATGCGGTTTAAGTAATATGAAGGTAATTTGAAATATCTGTCATAAACTGTTTATATAAATTATTGCATGATTCCTCAATAAGTGGGTAATTCTCTTGTAATTGAATGGGTAACTTAAAATGAACTATTAATAGGATGTAAGAAATGTCAAGGCGATTTCCCACATAATCTGTTAATCTATATTTATCCACTAAATTAGTCATCCTTGGGGGGAAATCAATTAAGAATGGAACACTGTAGTTTGACAGCTGTTCTAAAGCTCAGGTTTATACAAGAATTAACAATGCCTTCATTTTGGGCAACTTTAAAAAAGCTGTCGTGGATTGTGTGCGACTGTGTCGAAACGTTTGCCTCAACGGGCGATTGTCTTAAATTGTTTGCCTCAAAGGGCGATTGTGTCGAACAGTTTGCTTCCTCAGGCGATTTAGTGACTTCAGTGGGCGATTGAACCTTCCAGCACGCTTGAATTGGCAGATAAATCAGGGACAACGTCTCTGTATCTGGAATATTTCGACTTTCAAGTGCATTCAAGTACATCCTGTCTCCTTCGACTAAAGTTTGGTCAACTGTAGCAGTATCCCAGTGCCGCACTAGACATGATTGTGCACACAACAGCGCTGAAAAAGTCATACAAGAGGATTGTCTTCCCCTGGAAATGTCACTAAATCATTCGTGACCTTTATGAATAGTTCCAGCGATTGATTGAATTGCATTTGACATGATAGCTCAGTTCAAAAAGAGCGATAAAAACTTACCCGCTGCTCTCGAGGGCTTGATGGCTGGAACAGCTTGAGTGTTGAACGCATATAAATAGAAGTGAGGCCCCACACGGAAAGTCAAGAATAGTGCTGCTGCTCGCTAATGCTCAGAGCAATGAACGGATGTGGGCGGTTTGTAAAACAATAGGTTGAAAGGACTTTTGTCCCTCATAGGTGAAACTGCACAGTGCACAGCTTACGAGTTCTAATCGAAATACTTATCCCTTTTGCGCCGATTAGGTATAGAGTGCACATCAATGGAGACTTCATGTCTTTCACAACGCTACCGTGCGCGCTAAGCCTGAGAGAGTCAGTTTCGATTAAGCGAAATCGGAGCTTTTCAAAACCGCCGGCGTCGCGGCTCTTTAGTTTTATGATTAACCTTAATTGAGTGCATGTCTAATTTGTCGCCAATGTAGTTAAAGCCCGGCGCGACGAAAAAAAATTAATCGGTTTCCTCAGTAGGGTAAAAAAAAAGGTAAATTGGAAAATGTCAACTTCTTAATTGACATGAAGGTGAGAAAACCTCAGACGGAATTTTTTTTGGCGGCGACTTCCTCTTCGCCGCTCTAATTGCTCCCCAAATTTTATCACAAGAAAAGCAATAATGAGTAGACACGAGTTCGTGATTCATAGATCTGTCAGCTTTGAAAAAAGTTAGCCTTTAAATCGACTCCTATCTGATTTGCGTCCGTCATATACTTCGTACGTAAGATGCCTCCGGAAAATAAGAGGAATAGAAGTATTGAAAGTATGGTGCATTAAAATAATACAATAGTTGCGTATTTCTACAGAACAGGAACAAGAGTTGACATTTTTCCAAAAATAATCGGTGCCGCTTATGCAAGAGCCATCACATTCCTTTGCTGAATCCTCTGGAGAATCACCTCCTAAGAGTAAACTTAAGGTATGAATATACTGGTGCATCTTTAACCCTTTAACTCCCAAGATCTGATTGTTAATTCTCCCCTCTAGCTGTTACACATTTCCTTGTAAATTAGTTATGAGAACTTGGTGCTAGATCAAGATAGCAGCTTCTACCAGATAAGCTTGAATATTCTCATTACCCGTTTGTTGAATAATGTATAGATATTGTGGGGAGAAGTTCTATGTTAATCACTTCGGAGAGTTTAAGGGTTAAGGGTTTATACGTGATCTGTGATGAAAGCCAAAGTTAAAATGTGACGCGTGAATTTACTGAAAGGTGAATGTTATTCGTGAATTTGAGAAACTGAGTGAGGCGAGATTTGATATCCTGAAGTATACTTGAACCCTGAATTTTCTTCTTTTATAGAGTGATAACCGCAAGATTTCCCTGTAACCTTGCACACAAGACGAGAGATAAGGAAATTTTCCCTTTTATATCCGTGACGCGTGACCTGATTTTTTCGAAAATTTGTCGTAGGCCTGTAATATCTAACCAGTCCTCTTTCAGCTTGAATTAGTTCCAACGAATTCACTGAAGGGGTGCGTTTTAATTTGCTTCAGTAAATCCACGGTTGCACAAAAGGTTCAGTAAAGCTAAACTTCAGTAAAACATTATCTGCTCAAAAGCCAAGCTAGCCTTGTTACGCCAAAGACCTGTTCAAATCATAGTCAAGATAGTGTTGACGAATTCATACATCCCGTTTTGAAAATGTTCCTGTGATGTACCTTTCTTCTAATTTTTCAGATCCATACATACAGAAGGAGGCCTTACAAACCTTTGTAACTGTGCACTGGTCTGTTTCAAGGCAAATGACTCCTAGACATCTACGTGTAAGCAGTGAAAGAGTAATTTTCCGGCTTGGATACCAGTGGATCAACAGTACTGAATCGCTTTGTGAACAGAAGGAGGGGGAGTCAAAAATCTTAAATCTTGTATCGTCAGTTGAAAGGAAAATTACTGAACGGATTATTTCGTGGAAAAACATTTATCTTATATCAACTTATAAGGACAACTCATTATCTATCTAGAAGACAATACATAGAGCGCTGCCGCGTAAGGAAAGCCGCGAAGTTCGATACTTTAGAAACATTGATATTTTGGCTGAAGAGTTCAACCAATGTTTGGCTCCTAAGAGTGACTGGCATCTAATTTCTCTTAACGTAAAAATAACTAGTCGAAAAACCGCTCAAATCAATTAGTATGATCCATTTAAAACTCTATTGATCAGTAGCATCAGTGGCCAAAGTAATTACTGAGACTATGCAGGTAAAGGACTTCGAGGGCGAAAAAAACTCTACCACCCTTTGCTTCCCGAGGGTCCGATCTTGCAAAACATTTGAGTCAGTAGAAAATTCTGGGCTATCATCTGTCATTTTACCTAAAGCATTAAATGCGGCTTATCATGACCTTAACTGATTACATTCCTTCTCGGCTAAATGAACTGCATTGAAAACGAATTACTCAGAGCTACTTAGAAATGATAATGAGCAATTCCTTTTTCTCTCCAAGTCTTTTCCCGTCTTTCAAAATGGTCAGATCCTTGATAAGTTCAAGCGTTTCTTCCACAAGTTTTTTGTCTGCTTTCTCACGAAAATGCTCAGTGTGTGTCAGGAAATCAAGGAGTAGATTTCCTTCTGTTGATTTCTCATCAAACACTTCGGTGACGTCGATGGAATATTCTTCCGTGTACACGTCATGTTTCCAGCCATTATCAGAAGCAATTTTGATAATTTTTTCGATGGGTTTTTCTTTTCCAGCCCAGTGCTTGTTTTGCTTCAACTTAACCCAGTCCATAAGGTCTTGCCCTTGGACGATGAAAAGTAAGATTCCCGTCTCGTTCAACTCTTTCTCAAAAAAATGAAGCAGAGCCTCTTCAACTTCGACATGATAGATACTGTGGATGAAATGCACCAAGTCAAACTTTACTAATTCCTGCTGATGGCTGCACTTCATCTTCTTGTAGTCTTGAAATGTCTGCCGACAAAGTTCAATTTCTATAGGGTTTTCATCGGGAAGACTGCTTGGCAAGCTTTCAATGGTCGCCATGTAGAGATCGCACGAATGTTTGTTGGGCTCGATTGCTCGGTTGAGGATCTTCATGTGACGGTTACGCTCGCTTTTTTGTAATTCTTTCTTCACTATTTTTAAGATTTCCACATCTGTTTCCCCTGTTCCACTTCCTACACTTAAAATATTGAAATAAGGTTTGTTACGGCGCACAGCAAGCGACCTCTGAACCATGGGCGGTAAATGTTCTTTTAAAAGCTTCCTAACTTCGCTTCTTTGTCCAGTTTTCGCCAGAAAAACATTATGACTTTTGACATAGTGCATTCCGCATAGTAAAGCAATTGTTGTCATATTGTCGTCTTCGTTAGGGAACCAAAACTCAAAATTACATTTGGATTAGCGACTAGACAGTGTCTGCCCCACAGGTATTTCCCAGGCGGTGTGTGCACTCTGATCGCGTTGCATCATGGTCGTAAGACAAAAAGTGAGTCATTTGCATCCTGGCGCGGTCGAGTGAACATCTTTGGTGGCAGCGAGATAGCGTGAATAAACGTGGAATGTAATGTGGAATCTGTCTGTTGCTGTTCTTTCGAATTCGCTCTTAGGAGGCAACTGACGAGATTCAGAAAGAATCGAAACTGCAGTCTAGCCTAAGAATTTACACAAATGGCAGCAGTTACATTCACAGCCGATGCTTGTTTGAATAATAGCAAATTCAGAAAATACATTCCTAGACGCGAGTTATTTATTCACGCATTACAACGAGACACACACCTGATACACGAACTTTTTTTCGTGTCATCCACTTGGCGTAAATACGGGATTCATAAAAGAGGAAGCCCTTCGCCTGCTAAGAACGAATTCGTCACGCTCCACGTTTTATAAAAAAAGTAAAGAGTTTCATAATACGCTTAAAGAATAGAGGACACCTATATGAAGGTTTTTAGAAACGTATCTCCGGAGTCATTTTCTGCGGGACAGAAAGTACATTTAAAAATAACAGACATACGCAGAAGAAAATTCATATTTCCCTCTGTAACACAATCTCATCCAGTCTTGCCAGACCTCAAGAACATACAGATGGGGAAATGACACCTTGAACTAACCCTTATCATCACATAGCAAAGGAAAATCATTTAAAGGTATCCTTATAACAGCTAAACTTTTAGGGCGAAAGGTTTCAAAGCGCTAGCGAATGGCATGAGTTGCACAAGCCTATCAACACCTTTTAACGGTCGAATGCCTTTGTTTTTCGGCTTACCTGGCGTGTCGCCTTGCGCAATGTAAAGTTATTCATTAGTCAGGTGATTCCTTTTACTGCTTTAATTCAACTGTCCTTCATTCAATGATCGAGATAGAAGATTTACCATACAATACTCGCGATTAATTAATTTCCTTTTACTTAGTAAAGTAAATTTACAACACGATTGAGAATATATCGGAAATGTTCTTCCAATAGCAACGCTGTGTACATAACATTAGGCTTTTTGCGGCCAGGCGGTGAGCGCACTCTGATTGCGTTGCATTGTGGTAGCGTTACTTTTGATACGGCGGTGAAATCGACAGAAATAAATGCTATCTTGTTATCTTGCGGCTATTAACGAATTCGAAGTTCGTGCTGTTCACGTTCCCGGTGTCTCGAATTGCTATGTAGACCTTCTCTCTCGCTGGGATTCGTTCGGCCTTGCTGGAAGAGATAAATTTTTAGCACACGCGCACCACGCCAATTTACATGCTGTTACTGTCCCTGATGTTTCAATTTGACAATCATTTTTGATCCATCTTTCCTTCGTTTTAGGTTTTCCAGCCCTTTTGGAGGCTTCATCGGGATCTGTAACGTTCTCAGCGATCCGTGTACAGCTGTGGGACGTGCAGTTACTTACACACTCAATTCAAGGCTTATTTTTTGTTTGTATCTTATTTTCAATTAGCAGTCCCGACTGCGTCTTCCACAGGCGACCCAAGCTTCAGCTGTGAGATGATCATCCTGCGAAGTAAGAGTCATGGCGAAATTATAAAAATTTGTATGGGAATATTTACGACCGCTCTTGGGAATAAAAAAATACAGTCAAAGTCTCCATAAAAACACCTCACTTTACTTCCACGTACAGTGCATCGCTTGTTGTCTGACCGCTTACTATGTTGAAAAGAAGCCATCTTAGCGAGTTATCCATTTCTGGGTTTACTACATAAGAGAAGCCGTTCACCGCTTCTGTCCGGGTTTTCTTTTACCGGGTCCCGTAGGTGTGGTGCCTCTTACTAGTTTTGTTTCACATTTTCGTACGTGTTTATCTGAGATAGGTATTCCGCATGTCGATCGTTTCCGGGTCACTCCTTTCGACGCGGAGCGGCCTCTTCGGCTTTTAGTTGCGGCGTGATCGTCGACCTAATACAATTATATGGTAATTGGTTCAGTGATTCTTAAAAGCTTTATTCAAAGTTTAGCTTCGAATCTTAGCTTGCCATAGGACCTCTTGCCACCGTCTGTTGAGAATGCCCAGAGTCTCCCCCCTCCCCCTTTGTCCAAGGATTCCATGCACAAGTGAGACAGAGTGTGCAGATCAAGGATCAGCCCGCACATGGTCATAAGAGGACTTGTCAACAGGGATGAAATTCCCTCTAATCCTCGGACTCGAGGAACTTGTGATCATCAGACCTTCCCCGAGGAAGGAGCCTTTTCCGGTCACAGCCGCTTACTTCACCATCTGCAGCCGCTTACGGAAAAATATATTGAGTCAGTGTGTAAATGACGAAATCTGAACCTATGAAGACATTGGTTGTGTAAAAAAAGGGAAAAAAATAACTCACTACGAAACGAATTAAATGTTTCCTGTTCACACTACAACGATCACCAGCAAGAAATGCATCTTTAGGCTTGCGCACAATAAACACAAAGCCACTTACGCCAACTTTCACGAAAGCGTCCGTTCACAGAAAATTTTTGCACCACTGAAGAACGCTTGGTCGGCATTTATCAAATTTATCAACTTCGAGGAGTGTTTTCGAAACGACTACATTTTAGGTAGAAAATTTATACGTAGACAGTAAACACATCCATAGGAAGGAATAAAAATACGTTTTCAAATTCAACCAGTGCTGTCCAGGTAAAGTAAACCGTGATTCCACAGAAACAAAACTTGTCAGAAATTAATCTATTAAACAGGAAATAAGGTTTATTGACACTATGAAAAATTGTTTTTTTAACTCTTTAACTCCCATGAGTGACCAAGATAGAACTTCTCCATACAATATCGAAACAATATCAAGCAGACAAGTAATGAGAAAAAAGAAAAATCTTATTTAGGGACCTACTGATTGATCCATTACCAAATTCTCCTAACTAACATCACAAGAACTGTATGGTAGACAGTAAGGAGAATTACTAATGAGATCTTAGGAGTTAAAGGGTTAAGAGGCAAGTTTTACAAGTACTCAAGATGCAACCATCTGCATGTAATTCTCATGAATGCTTTTCTCCCATTTTGCATCTGCCTTTGGACAGTTCATCAAATCCTTGAGGACTGATTCTGGAGTAGTGTTAATAGAATTGAAAATAGCTTCAATAATCCATTCATACAGCCATTCTTTGTGTGGACCAGAACTTCTGTTAAGCTCATAGACACCAAGAGTCTCAAAACCTTTCAAGCTGACAAGAAAATCAGCATATTCTAAAACAGTTGCTTTCGGCAAAGACTGGTCACAGAGAGGAATCAGTGTCATAGCCTTAAAACCAGCTTTGTAGATGGAATCAAGTAAAACCTTGGAACCATCTGCCTTAACCATATGTTCCAGCTTGAATATTCCAGCCTGTAACATTAAAGAAATAATTACAACAGTTGGTTTTCATTGAACTTTCCATTTCTCCATAGAAAGACCCCTAGTTAATGGATGCTTCTGAGTCTGTTTGAATTTGATTATAATAATGAAAACTCACTATCAGATAACTGATAGATACTGTCGTCAGAAGTAGGTTCTTCGGTTTTTTTTTCTATTTTTTTTTTTGGTTCTTACAGGTAATAGAGTAATTATTCATAAGCGATACCTGTGAGACAGTCACATGTCCTCTACTACTCGGGGATGGCAACCCTTTGGGAAACGAACAGTTGAATGCCTCCAGTGATGCCCAGAAATTCTTTGAAATAAATCTATAAGGACTTAAATCTCCATTTAGCGCTAGTTTCTCAGAGAAGATCACTTTACTAACGCCACGAGCGTAAAACTCTTCAGCTGCTTCAATCCAAGATTGCTGGAACAAATCTACCGGAATATCACCGGCAGTCTTGAAAAACACGAATTGTACGATTTCGTCTTTCGGTTCATTCGTAACAGACATATCAAATAACCACCGGTTATGGTTAACAAGCAAAGGGATTTTACAGCTATTTCTGGATTGTCGACGTTTGCAACTGCAGTTCTAATTGGACATCTATAATTGAAGCATTACGGCTCTACAAGATACGCAAGTATCTGAAATTATACAGTTTGACCATTCCTATATTAAGATACCTTGACTTACAAATCATATTTGAAGCCCTTTGTTGCCTATGGGCAGAATGCATACGATAGCCTACCTCTAAAATGTAGAAAAAAAAAATTACAAAGAAATATTGTATATCTTTGAGTCTACACTCGGCCATCTTCTCTCCCCAATCCCCTATGATCACCAAAGATGACTCACCCAAACGAAAAGAGTGGTACTAGGACCAACAGTAGAAAATCAAAATGGCGGACGGCAACACGAGTTTGAAACGAAAGCATTCTAAAGCATTTTATGTCGGAAATAAGAAGAAGGTTTGTCATATATTTTTTTTTCTAAGCTTGTACATTTTCAGTTTCTTTCTTATGCTGTAAACTGATTTCTCTGCATATTTTTTTAGAAAAGAGGACAAGAGCTGCTTGCTCCAGGAATGAAGGGTGTTCTTGTCACGTGTAACGAAAGGGAGAATTTGTGTGTACGAGAAGCTTACAACGTCCTTAATGAAGTAAGAACTTAATGTTCAGCTGATAAAGCTGCAATCAGCCAACACTATCGATAAAAAACTATTTGATTGCTAAAATATATGACTGAGCCTTTATAATTGCGATATGCGTGCTTGGTTGCCAAGCCTTTGCACAGGAGAGAGGCTCAGGGTGACCTTGTTATGATACAAACGTTGTTACCGTACTTTTCAAATGTAAATTACTTTTCTAGCATGCTTACTAGATACTGGTCTCTATCATAACAAAGTCAGCTTCAGCCTCATGCTAAATCAAAGGCTTGGCAATAAAGCACTCAACTGTAACATGACCTATTATTGAGGACTGCAGACAGCCTACTAACCCCCCTCCCACCCCTCCCCCAATGGAGGAGAGCTTGTAAAAAGAACCTGTTAGTGCCATTCTGCTACTGACAATTGAGGATTTATGAACAATTTGATCAAAGCTATGTTTCAAGTCTTCATATGGGGCTGACTTTTCAAAAAAGACATTTTTGCCATGGTCCAGCGTCAGAGCTTGATATTGAATTTTCTTAGCTTCCCATGTTCTTTCTCAGAGGTTATAGTCTTCCTTTTCAACAAGAACTGTTTTTCCCATGTCTTATTTATTTTCGCTTTTTATGAACTTTTTTATGTGCAAGATCTGACAGAAAGATCTACCTACCAATGACCATAATTTTTTTTCATTATTTTTGGTGCCTGTAGCTGTTATTTGGAGAAAATTTCTCTGTAACCAAGATGATGATTTTTTTCTTTCCCACATTACTATTTACCTGGTAGCCCAACAGTGTTTAATAAATTACCAATCCCTCATTAACCCTTTAACTCCTATGAGTGGCCAACACAGAATTTCTCCTTACAATGTTAATACAATATCAACCATATAAGTTATGAGAATAAAGAAAAATATCAACTTGGGGATAATTACCTGATCCAATACTTTATTCTCCAAACTAGCATTATAAGAATTGTATGGTTGACAGTAAGGAGAATGAAACATTTGATCTGGGAGTTAAAGGGTTAAACATTTAATCCATATTAATTACTTTGAACCTATATTCAACTTATAATTCATCATAATGGACTGATTTATTGTTTTGTCTTTGTCTGGGGTTTAGTATGCAGACAAGCTCTATGGTCCTGAGCACAGCTTGCAAGAACAATGACTCTGTTAATGAGAGTGATTCTGAAGACATTGAGGATGCTCTGGCCAAAGAAGTCAAGCAACTTCAAGAAACTAAAACAGAAAAAAGGTTCCAGGCTGTCTTGACTGGAGCTGTAAACGTTATCTTCATCAAAACAAACCTTCCTGATTCTAATGATCCCACAGATTTAGTCCATACAGTTTTAAATGACATGCTAGAAACGGGATGCAAGAAAACCAGGTATGGAATGGCATGTTCTATTGGAAGTGTTTTTTTATATATATATATATATATAGGTGGCATTTTGAACGTAACTTTTTCCTGACCTTTTTGTTGAGGCTTTTTGTAAGATTATTTTCAAAGAGCTTTCCAGTAATAATCACTTTCAAACAGTAGCGGTCATGGTCATCATCACCCAAATTTAGTTGTCAAGGTCATTTTTCAGTCATATTTTAATTGCTGTTATTATTGATGTTATTTTTCATCACTATCCTCATTTTGATCTGTTAAGGCATTGTCAAAGGTTTCTGCCAATTTCTGGCTCCTGTCATGCTAATAAGGAAGAAATGAAGAAACTTGCTGAGCAATTGTTCCAATCATCATTCTTTGCTGAAGATGTGAAGCCATCAACGGTATGTAGGAAAAGAATAGGTACATGAGATCAGTGAATTTCTGCATCCTTGCATTAATGATTCAACCCATAACATAAGTCTTATCCAAATGTTTACAATGGGGTTTATATATTTATTATGAGCAAAACATTATCGAGTGGTTTTCTAACTTGTTTTAGATCACACCAAAAAATTTAGAAACAACATGAAGTAAAAATTCCTGAAAATGGGAAGAAATTTTGATATTTGTATGAGATCTGATTGCAAATTACTTTGTCCAAGACTTTTTTTTGGTGAAAGGACATATTTTTCAGTTTGGGGCAGACACTGATATGAACATACTCAGAACCTACAAGGCTCAGTAAATTCTGTTGGTCACTCATGGGAGTTAAAGGGTTAACAAAATTGGACAACCCTGAAGCAAGAGTCCGATTTAATCATGAGTGTGATTACAGACAGAATTGGATGACATGAAGTCCTGTTACCAATTAACCAAAACTATGACAAAATTTGAGAAAGAAACTAGACATCAGTTACACATTTTCATAAAAAAACAACAGTTAACTCAGTGAAATGCCTAACAACAGCACACACAGGTGATGCATACTGTCCACATACATAAGCATGACCTGTCAAGTGTCCTATTACACTGTCCAATTACAAGCATGACACGCACACTGTCCTATTAATTTTTAAATCCGGCTGTTGATAACCAATCACATTCAAGAATTTTGTTATAGTTTTGATTAAGCCAGTTAATTTCACAGGTTACATTTAATAAATCAGACCTGTACCCTAACAGTACACCACTGTGGCTCCTTACTGTGCATACTTTTCATTACATGGGTGTGAACAATGCAACAAAATGGTCTAGTCAGTAGCATGCAGATTGAAAGGTATGGCTTGAGTCAAGCCCTGATCAAGACAATGTGTTGTGTTCTTGAGCATGACACTTAAAATGCAAGAAACGTTTGTTGGAGTTCAGTTTGGTCATGCCCCCAATTTTGAGCTTCACTTCTCTGTAAATATGCATTATTGATCAAAAAAGTTGCAGATGAATTCTCAGGTTTGACTGTCTTCTGCTGATCTTTGCCACTCAATCACAGACATTTTCAACAGTTACAAACTTTGTAACTCTGCTTCACACAATTTCTTGTACTGGATCAAAAAAGTGAGAAATCTAGAGTTCAGCTTGCCTGCTGAGTCATCAATCACAGCACAGGATTTGCTTCAGATTGCTCACTGGCACTGCCAGCCATGTAATATTGTCAAATTAAGGAATTTTTGATTATCCATCAAAATGCATTGTTAGAATCTTGGCCCTATAGAGTGTTAAAACAAGTAAATTTGATTTTATTGAATTGCAGTTCAGTGTGATGTACAAATCCAGAAACAACAGTAGCATTCACCGAGATGACACAATCTCTGCATTAGCAAGTATAGTAATGAATGCCAGGAAGGGACACACTGTGAACCTGAACAACCCAGACTTAGCAATCTGTGTGGAGATCATGAAGGTAAAATACAAACTTACTTTGGATTTTTAACACATTGACAGATTAACAAATTGACAGTGAAAATGTTCCATGCTTTGATCTTAATGAGTGAAGAGGGTAAGTTTCTAAGGAAACTGTGGTGCTGCATCAGAAGGAGAGTATAACAGGGTAATTTAGTCATGGTTTGATGCTACTCCGGTTTAATTATTTAATAAATGAATGTAACCAAGAAGTTACAATTCATAGACCCAACATTTTGACACTCATGACAATGGTGGCTTACTTCCTGACGCCTATTAACACCTCATCAGAAAAAAGGCAGCTAATTAGTGAGCGTATAAAAGGACCTCTTGTTGCAGCGTTTAGATCACCCCTGATGAAGGCACTAGACAGGAGTGTCGAAACGTTGGGTCTATGAATTGTAACTTCTTGGTTACATTCATTAAAACTTTAAACCAGAGTAGCATCAAACCAAGTTTGATTGTCCACTTGGCTGCCATGTGAACTTTCATATAGGTTAATTTAGTGTTATCAACTGAGTTGATCATGTATATTGGCCACCTTAAAGAGTTTAAAGGCTGACATTTTGAGCATTAGCGTCAGAGCAATTGACTAAGGGCTAACTGTCGAAATGTCAACCTTCAAACTCTTTATGTTGGACAATTTATGTCATCAACTCAGTTAATAACACTAAATTACCCCATCTTAATGAATGGTTTAGTAGTATTACTATAAGGAGAAATTAGATGCTGGTCACTCTTTAGGGTTGAACCCTTTAAACCCTGAGAGTGACCAGTATCTAATTTCTCCTTACAGTAATATGGCTGAATCATTTATTAAGATCATGAGAATAAATGAAATGATCACCACCCAAAGAAGCTTTGATTGTTCAACAAATTCTCCCTGTCAGTACCAAAGGAAATGTACAGAGAGGGGTATGGAGAATATAGATACTGATGTTAGGGTGTAAAGGGTTAAAGGATTAAGTGCCTGCATTTTGAAATTACAAGGCCATGACATCACTTACATGACTTTGCAGAGTCCTACCTAAATGGCAGGACCCTTATTGTGAGGTTCACATCTAGGTACTGCTTTGACTGTGCCAAAAGTCATTACAGTTACTTGAGTAATCAATGCCTCTTTTTGTTGTATGTAGTTGCGCAAAAAGATCATTGATCCTCAGTGTTAAGTGGCCAGTAATTCATTTGCTCAAATTCCACCAGTGATAACTTATGTTAACCCTTTAACTCCCAGAAGTGATTAATATAAAACTTCTCCCTACAATATCCATACATTCCTCAGCAAACAGATAATGAGAATATTCAAACTTATCAGGTAGAAGTTGCTATCTTGATCTAGCACCAAGTTCTCATAACTAATTTACAAGGAAATGTCTAACAGCTAATGGGGACAGTTTAACAATCAGTTCTTGGGAGTTACAGGGTTAACTCCCATATCACATTCATAATTCTCCTTAATGTCAACCATACAATTCTTATAATGTTAGTTCAGAGAATTTAGTATTAGATCAACTAATTATCCCCAAATTGATATTTTTCTTTATTCTTATCACTTATCTGACTGATATTGTATTGATATTGTGAGGAGAAATTCTGTCTTGGTCACTCATGGTAGCTGAAGGGTTAAGAGCAAACACATAGGTTTTTTACAAATGCTCCTTTCAGTATAGTAAGTGAGCATTCTCAATTTTACTAAATTTTCTATTAGTAGGAACAGCAAAATTTTTTGTACCCATTAACTGTTACAATTGTTTTATTTTTTATAGTATTTTAGTTTTGAAGTCACTCAGCATCCACTTTGAATTATTTGAGATTTGTTCCTGTTCTCTTTTGTCAGAGTTATCCTTTATCTCCCAGGGGTGACTAACATGTAAATTCTCTATAAAATCCACACACTATCCAGCAAACAGGTAATGAGAATATTCAAACTTATCAGGTAGCAGGTGTTATCTTGATCCAACACCAAATTCTCGTAACTAGTTTACTTAAGCATGTGTAGCAGTTAGAGGGGAGAATTAACAATCAGATCTTGAGAGTTAAAGGGTTAACTAATTTAGAGTATTGTTGTTTTAATTTCCTCTGTAGAATGTCTGCTGCATGAGTGTGGTTAAAGATTTTATGAAATTGAGAAAATACAACATTCATGAGGTGAATGAGAAAATTTTCCAATCTCAAAGGAGAGATAATGAGGACAGTGAAAAGGTGAAAAGCAAAAACCAAACCATTATGAAAAGTGATGACAATGATGCTGATAGTGGTGCGCAAAGAGACGGCAATAATGCTGGTAGTGATATGAATAGAGATGGAAATAATGCTGATAGCACTACTGTTGATGATGCAACCTCTGAAAATCCAGATACTTGAAATGATGTCAGTGTTACAGTGTTGACTGTAGGTAATGATGGTAAGATTGGAGAAGGTCTGCGAAAGGTTATGAATTCTGCCCACAGAATTTAGAGCATAATTTAATACCCTTTGCAGGAGGATTCTCAATATCACTATGGGATTGTCTAAATTGGGCTGATATTCAAAACCAATCAAAGATACACTGTGATGACAATATGATTTTCATTTTTCATCGCAAGGTAAAAGTTGAATTTACTTTTAAGTGGTTGGCAAAGGGTTTATAGGTTTATTTATTTGTAACACATGAATTTTACAGAAAAGGGGAGAGTAATTTATGAAGCAGTGTAGGCATGATTTCTTTCATTTTGTGAAAACCTCACATGTAAGAGGGGAGATTTAAACTTTTCCCCTTTATATACATGACACATGAATTTCTCTAAAATTTTGCGCATGAAACAGGACTAGGAATCCCTCTTTTTTACCTTCTTTGAAGCATTCTCAGGCTTCTAGTCACTGCCACACACACACACACACACACACACAATACAGTTCTACCTTAAACATGGTTGAATCTCCGAACTCTACTTTACACATCAGAGAGTCAGACACAATGAGCTGCTCAAGGCACAAAGGAAGTAATGCAATTTGAACTATGAGGAAACTGATACTAGTGAAGTCACATGACAAGGGTCAAATAACTTATGTTATGCAGCCTAATTTTGGGCATAATGCCATAGTCAGAGTATCGAACATGATACCGACATAATGACTAATTAAAACTTCTTAAAAAGTCCCTTGATGTCTCAGTTCGGCAAGTGATTTTTTTTAGCATAATGTATCTGACCTTACACAACACAGTCTGAATTCTCAGCACATGCATACAGTTATCTACAGAGTCAATGAACTGTCATTGGCACAATTTTTTTTTATGTTTATTTATTATCATTTCTCTTCAGAACACAACACTCCTGTAGTGAGATTTTATGGAAAATTTACTACCTGACATAAATGTCCTTTGATAACAATTTTAATGGTCACCAGACACATACACTCCACATGCATCTGAGATTTCTTAACACAGTAATAAAGCACTACCAAGTGGAACTTTCTTCGGCGGCTCATTCTTTAGTAACACTTTATTCATAATAGTAATAGGACAGAGTGGAGTCCAATTTGGTCTGTAATCATATGAGTGACTAGCAAAATTGGACAACCATGAAGTGGGAGTCTGATTTGTTTATCATGGGTATGATTACTGACAGAACAACAAGAAATCCTGTCATGAATTAATCTTAACCATTTCAATTTCTGAAAAAAAAAAATACACCTAGAACAAATATCTCTAGTGGAGACAATATCTTCAGTTCAATATTCCTCCATTTTGCCTCGTTTTTTCTTTGGATAAGTGGTGGTTGCTATGGTTATTGTGATCAATTCTGTGATTGGTAGATTTAGCTGAGTGGACCTAGTTTGATTGGCTGCTTTAACTGTTCGATTATGGGTGTCCAATTACAGCCATTTCTCCTATTTCCCTGTCTGATTACAATTGTACAGAATTAGTGGAAAATGAAGCAGCTGATGCACCAATCACATTTGAGGAAATTGTAATGGTTATGATTAATTCAGAAACCATGCAGCTTAATTGATCCATATAGTAGGAAGAGGTGATCATGTTGTGTAATTATCCAACTGAGAGTACAGTAGTACTGAAATTGACTGTTTCTTGTGACAGTGTCCATGTGGAAGCCATCATCTGAGTCAAACCTTCCACTCGATTTTTTGGAACATCAGTCACTGATGATAGTCTGTTCAAAACTACCCTCCCCTGGGCAATCACACCACATGATTATCAATTCAAGGGAAACATAACCCTTTAAACCCTAAAAAAACTGAAAACTAAACATGTACATTGTATTGTGCTCTTTTTGAGAGAAGATTGTTCATCACATTAATCTCATCTAAAAAGTACATGTACAGAAATTTCAACAAGAATCTTGCATTTCCTACCAAGTGGTCAAGTCATCACACAACACACGACAAATTTTGGAAATTGACTTGACCACTAAGGAAGCACTTAACCATAGCTAGAATCCTCCCAGTAACATTTTTTTTTTTCACTTCTATTGGTGATGAAGTCACTCTCAGTATAAGCCAACTATGGCATTCTCTGGATTCAAAAATTCTTTGAACAAATTCTTGTGGAACCAATCAAAAACCATAAAATTAAAAAAATCATAGGTCATACATGGTAAATTAGTCTTCTTGACAAACTTTGTAATATATATTGTCATCACACCAAAATAGAGGTTACAAGAACCTTTTGATACAAAAGATGAAGTTTTGTGAAAACTGAGAAAACTCCTACATGATTGGTCACACAGATGATATGGAAATTGAATACTGCATAATGAGTACCTTGAAAACTGTATAGCTTATAAAAAAAGTGTTGATGGTGTTTTAAGTCATAAATACTATGGTTAGATGTGCAATGACAGCTAATGCCATATCTTGTGGGATTTTCTTCCAACACCCAATTAATAATCACTTTCTCTTTAAATTTAAGACAGTATTCAATACTTACTCTACAAGGTTTTATGTAGATGATCTTCAAAAAGACTAAAACTGATTAACCCTTTAACTCCTAGATAAAATTTGTCATTCTCCTTTCTGTCAACCATACAATTCTTATAATGTTAGTTCTGAGAATTTTGTATGGGATCAACTATTTATTTCCAAAATGATATTTTTCTTTATTCTCATCACTTATCTGGTTGATATTGTGTTGGTATTGTAAACAGAAATTCTGTCATGGTCAACAATATCATGCCACTAGAACAAAGGAAATGATCACTAAATTAAGAAGCCTTTGATTGTTAAACAAATTCTCCTTGTCAGCACCTTAGGAAATGTATAGAGAACAGTATAGCAAATATGCAAAATGATGGTAGAGTGTAAAGGATTTATCAATTTACTTCAACAATCACCTACAGCTAACACTACACTAAAACTTATTCTAACTATATATACACAGCTAAGAAAGAGACTGATGGAAAAACAGCAGAATAATAAGTAGAGACTAACCACTTGTCATCACATTAATTAACATGAACGACACTTCTTGATAGCTGTTTTGGTATCCTCAAATAAATAATCACAATGACTTCATAATCTGAAACATTTTTCTCATTTTCTCTAGTTTTAAAGTTGTAGATAAAGCACTCTCCTAGTATAAATTAACTTGATGTTGCACTCCTTCACTTGTCCTTTTAAACAGTATTTTAGTTCTTAGACTAGTTAGTTGTGAAATAAGGCCTATTGAACCCCTGTTCATAAAATATCAAGAAGGCCTTTTCAAAAATAGTCACCTTATTGTTACCAATTTTCACAATCAATTTATTTCACAAAAAACCACAAAGATTTTGGGTTGGCTGTAAATTGCACTAAAGGAAGTCAAACAAACAGCATAATAATTCTTTTCATCAAAACGCATTGTTCTAATAACTGTGCAAAAAAAATTAATGCATGGTTAATTTTTCGCTGTAGTTTAGTTCTGGCATCCTTTTTGTTTGAATTGTGAAAATCTAGAAATATTTATAAATAAGTCACGTGAGAATTAGTAACAATTATACTAAATTTTTTCTCCCAAAAACACTAGAAAATGACCTAATGATTTTCTGTCCTCAGTATAATTATAATAGAGATTGTACAGGCACCTCACTTCAAAAAACAAGCAAAGTTGGCACACTCGATATTGATACATTGCTTATTAGGCTACTTTATTTAATACTTGTAAATATATTACACACTTTCAACAATAATAGCTAATTCTTTTGAGCTAGAAAAAATCTCTTACCAGTTAATTTAGATTTTCTGTCTGTAATATTTCAATTTTGTTGGAATATCTTGCAGTGTGTGACAAACAAGACCATTTCAAAACACACGAGGTTACATGTAATTTGGTTGCAATTTCTTTCCATGATAACCTTCTCAAACCTCACTTAAAAAACTTGTCAGAGAGCAGGCATGCTTTCCCTTTTTTTGGTCATATTTTGATAACTACCTTGTGTGTTTTCCTTGTTGCTATCATGGAATTCTCTGAAGTACTCATGCTGGAGAGCATCTAAAGCTCCGATTCTCTTTTGTGGATTGAAGATTAGTATTCTCTGAAAAAAAAAAAGTTTTAATATATATAAGTATTAAGAGTAGTCTTCAGCTCAGTGTCAAAAGTAATTCATGATTGCATTGGTTCTGCTTTCTGCTAATTACTTTTCTTTGTGATTGGTCAAGAACTTATACACCCTCTCAACCAATCAGATGCAAAACTAAAACCAGTCATGATGTGATTACAAGTTATCTTGTAGTTTCGATGATGTGCTTGATTTTACTTTGAGCTGTCACTGCATGCAGACTTCTTGTGACATTTTCCTTTGTACAGAATCGCTTTTATATGTTGGGATCCAATAACATTGCATGGCTGGAATGCCAACAGTGGATCTTCATGTTTCAACCAACAAAATACTACATCTCTACAGTTAATATCAAGGTGCAGGTCATAGAGGTTCACTAAAACTTCTTATTCCCAGTTTCCTCAGCAAGAAGAGACAGAGTAGATCTACTCCTCCTGGATGGAATACTTCTGTAGTCCATTGCAACTAAACCACAGAATTTTGTCAAATTTTTCATGTACAGTACATGAACCAGTAAGAGTTTATTTAGTGATTGGTATACCCATGTATCTCACCTTGAGTAAGTTGGTTCCACTCTCACACATCTCTGGTATTAACTCAGCAAGTGAAAATGAAACATATCTTGGGAATGATGACCTCTGAAGAGAAACACTTGATGGCCAGTCATTCTGCAATGGAGTACCTAGAACACTACACGTTCATCAAAGATCATGAAAGAAATTCAGTGATAGAATGGAGTTTGAATGACACAGCTTCCATGCTGAATCAGAAACCACTACAGTAACTGCAAATTGCCGAAGCATACCACTTTTAAGGGACAATATTGTCATATTTTAAATTAGCTCAATCTGATGGTAACTCTGAGGAAACTACTGTACATTTATTTGATATAGGCGTAATAGCAAAAGGAAAAACATCCAAGTTGGTACTGCAGACAAAAATGGAAGAAAAAAGGCTGCAGAAAGAGATGACAAAACAGAGTACAAATTTATGGTAAATTCCTCATCATGTAACAATCTGGACACAGTGCACTGTATTGGTCATAAACATGTAATTTTAACATGTCTCAGGTGATAAAGTGATATTTGATTTGAAATAAGAAGCAAACTGTTTTTTTTAAGCCTTCTGTCCACTAGTTCATTGAAGTATACTGCAAACCTTCTCTCAAAAAACATCTGTTTTCTTGAGCATGACAGTGATACCTTTGCACAAAAAAATTCACTATGGGTTACAGCTTAATATTTTTCTATACTAATGGTTTACCTAAATATTTTGTGAAGCTGATCTACATCAGATTTTCCTTCAAACAGTGGTTTTCTGTTATAAAGTTCAGCCATAATGCATCCAACACTCCAAATATCCACAGCTGTGGCATAACTAGAATGAAGAAGAACCTCTGGAGCCCGATACCACAGTGTTACCACCTGAAACAGAAACAAAAAATTTAAGAAAAAATTGAAATTCGTGGCAGAAATAATTATAATCAGCTCAACCCAGCTTTAGTTATACTGCTGCTTTAAGTTGCCAAGTAATTGATGATGACCTGAAGAAACATCCAGTTTACCCTTCAACTCCCACGAAACTTCCCAGGTAGAGGTTTTCATCTTGATCGAATCCAAAATCCTCATAACTAAGTCACAAGGAAATGTATTGCAGCTAGAAGGGAACATTAACAATCAGATCTAGAAAGGGTTGGGCAGTTTGATGGCAGAAGGAGAGTAACAGTAGTTCTGTAATCAACTGTTGTTGGTAAATACATCTAACAGTGACTGACATTCCAGTGACCTGAGCAGAAATTATCCATCAAGTGAAGTGAGGTGATTGTCAATTGAATGACAGTCAATAAGTTTCCAAAAACAGAAAAATTGTTGAGAATTTAAATAGAATTTTTTTGCAGAAATTTTGCTCAGCTCAGCTCAGTGCAGTTGTTATAATACTACAAAAAAGTTTTACAGTAAATCATCTTAATGTAACTTGAAGAACATTCTGTTTTGCACTCTGATCACACAAGGTGGGGTAGTTCTGTAACCAGCTGTTGTCGCTAACAGTGACTGATACTTCAGAGAACAGAGCAGAAGTCATTAACAGAGTTAAGTGAGGTGTTTGTCCAGTGATTGACTGTTCATTAGTTATGACAAACCTCACCCATGATATTTGAAAAATAACTCATCCTCAACTCTGATGATAACTTCTGCTCAGGCTTTCAAAAGACTAGCCATTGTCAATTATAACAGTCCCTTTTGGGACTACCCACAACTGAATGATCATATAGTGAGAATATATATAAATCAACCTAAAAGACACCCTTCTATAGTTTTCTTTGGTTTTTAACAATTGACTCTATCCTAACAGAGACCTACATGACAGTCACCTGTTTAGGGTGAACACTTTGCAGTGCTCATAACTTTTTTGCTGTAGGGAAAGTTTGGATCACTGACAAATGCAAACTTTGTTTTTAAAAATGTTGACAGCACATTGTTCAAATTAATGTAGATCTGTGCATGCTGCGTGTACTCTAGTATTATTGGTATGGAAGTACAGTTAGCAAGTACATTAAATCATAATTATCAACATGGGTTTTAAAATTTGCTGTTAGATATTCAGCAGTCAGTATTCTATTGCTAATCATATGACATGAAACCAGGATACCTTTATGGTTGCAGTTGTATCATTACAACTTACCACTGATGTCAAAGCCATAGCATCTCTGTATATCCTAGCTAATCCAAAGTCTGCAATCTTTACTTGACCAGCACCTGAGATCAAGATATTCTGGGGTTTCAAATCTCTATGGACAATCCGGTGAGAGTGCAAGAAATCCACCCCATTCAACAGCTGATGTGTTAAGTCCTGTCATGAAATTTGTGAGAAGGGTTTGTGTCAATTAACAACTTTAATTGTTACAAATAATTTATCATTTCATTGGAACTCCATCAATCCTAAATACAATGTACAGTGTATTGACTTGCAAAGTTTTTCAGTTAAAGGTGTGAGTTTTAGCACAAGGTACAGTTAAATCCATAACAAAGTGTATTTCTGAAGATGCTCCAAAAGTTTTTTCAAAGGAATCCTCCAAAGTTTGGCCTTGCGCTTTCCTCTGTTTTCTTGTGTTTGGAGCTTTGAAAGTTTTTTCAAAGGAATCCTCTAAAGTTTGGCCTTGTGCTTTCATTTGTTTTCTTGTGTTTGGATGCTTTGAAAGTTTTTTCAAAGGAATCCTCTAAAGTTTGGCCTTGTGCTTTCATTTGTTTTCTTGTGTTTAGAAACCCTGATGAAACACAGTGCAAGAGTTTTTGGAATAGTACTTCTAATATAACTTCTGCAAACTGTCCCCTCAAACATCAAGATTTGTTGGGAAAAACAATTATTTAAATATGGAGACTTGAAGTTTATTTCACATTTTCAATATTTAGCTGGACAGTGTGTAAGTTTAGGCTGTAAAAGTCAATTCTTACTCAAGATCAGAGGAGTTGGATCAACAGGTGTGATGTGGCATGAGACTAAATTTTTTTACTCACAGGCAGAGACAGCTAATACAATGATGCGTTCACAACTGGGCCATAAAAATGCATACTGAGTTATAAAAATGGGTGGCCGTTTCCTTGGGTATAGTCATGTTGACATACGATACAGGCTTTGAAACATCCACATTTGTAACCTGAGAATTATGATTTAAGTCACATAAATAAATAAATGAGGTGCTTTTGGTAATTAAACAGGCAGAACTGGAGTACAAACTGAGCAACCAAATCACTGAATTTTTCCAAGTGGTGTCTAGTAAATTATTGTACTCATCAAAAACAAATATTCTGAGTGAGGGCTGTGGCCTGACAATTGCAACCTATGAGAGCTAATGTTTCATTACTGCCCATCATAACTTTAAATTTCAATTTATAAACTATGCACAAACTTTGTATTAATTATAAGCTACAGTATGATGATCACCTAGTGCATTAGACTCAAGTTACAACTTTGGTCTTTAAAATCTATATATAGCTCTGTACATCCATGCATAAAGCACTTTAGGTTAAGTGTCAAAAGAACGGTGTTCATTTTGTTCAATCATCTATTTTGTTTTATATCTATCTTGAATTTACAAAGCTTCTCCACATGGCATCCCCTTGTTATAAGCATTGCTTCATGCAGATGTTTGCATGACAAGGTTTAGGCAATGTTTTACCTCCTTTCTCTAACATTTTAATTTACTCAGAGGAAAACATATTTTGCCACATTCAGCCCAAAATTAGCATTAGAAAACATCTCTTAGTAAAAAGTTTTAGCTGCTGTCAGCCTTTAATCTGGATGGTCTTCACATTTAATTTTTTCTGAAAGAATGTTTTCCACTTATATTATGTGGGATGAACAGTGTTAATGCTTAATTGGACAAAAGAATTATTGCCAAATCCAAGATGAATGAAGAAGTGACATGTTCTCTTTAATGAATGCTGCACACTTTGAACTCAACTAATATAATAGACTTTGGTTAAATCAACTGGCTATTGTTTGAGGTCTGATAATTAACAGGGTGTGTGAAAATAAAGGCTGTTTTGCATATACATTAGAAAAGGAGTTTCAATAACAGATACCGAAGAATTTGACCTTTCAAGTGATCTACATGACTTGTGCCTTGAAAAATGAGAATTAAAATTTTGTTAATGACATTAGGAGTATTTTTATATGCATGATCTCTTTAGCTGTGTACCCACCAAGATTCACAGAAATGAATGAACTATTTAAAGTTTGGAAGCAAAACATGGATTGTCATGAATACTGTTGATTACTAAATCATATGTTATGGCAGTATTGCATGTCTTTGATCAGAATAATGATTACCTAATAATGTTACACAGATTGTGGTCCAAACTACTTATGGAACATGATTGCTGAGATTTGGAATGGATGAATGAGTTGTTAGAATACTTGAAAATGAACCAAATTAATTGGTTTTAAATGTGTCATCCTCTATTTAAACTATAAATGGCTCTTTACCGGACATTTTTTGAAGTGTTTTTTTTCCTTTATCCCATTGGAAAGTTATGCTTTTGTGGGCACGATTTACATGTAATTAAAATGCCTTCCAGAGGAGGGGGGGAGACAGATCTAGTCACTGGAGAGAAATAATTTTGCATTTAGCAAAGTTTTTCAGCTTTTGTGGGCCCAGGGTTTGGTCTTAAAATTATTCAGAGGGTTAGTGCCTTCCCCTAGGACACCTCTTGTGGGCAGGGGTGTTACTTCAAGTCCTTATGTCATTTGGAGGGGATGCAATATAATGCCTCATTTGGAATCAATTCAATCTTCAAACCTAAACCATTACCCCTTTGTACTCCTCCTTGGAGAAGCAAAAGTTTTGGATTGTATTGAATACTTTCCACGTCAACAATACCTTAATTTTCCATTCTGGCAATCCTGGTTGTGGGCAGTTGTCAAGATAAGCACTTAGATCCTGCTCAATGTGCTCAAAGACAAGAGAAAGGTATTTCTCATGACCTGTTGGTGAAGTTGTATGAAAAACATCCAGAAGCCTAAAAAAGAAGTGGAAGAACCCAATAAATCACCATATTTAACCTAAAAAGCATTAGCACAAGATCAAGCTCTTTGCCTCTGATCTCATCCATGGCATCATTAGATAGTCTATAATGGCATTGCTGGAGTCAGAGGCAAAGGGCATGGTCTTGTTCGATCTCGCCAACTCCAATATTAATAAATACATGCTACAAGTACACTACAGAAGGCAAGTGAATTTCAAATCTGTAAAATAGGTCACTTGAAGACTTTTCTAAGCATTTAATTTATATTCCGTGTACTGTTCTCTAACCAAGAGTGACTTGGATGTTTCCACTCTCCATGAATGGGATTGCAGGTTACCCCTGGCATTTCATCAAGGTTCCTCAACATATTATGCTCCTATCCACTCTAAACCTTATGGAGCAAGGAACTGTGAAAGTCAAGTGCCATGCTTAGGGCACAACACTATACCATAGTCAGGGCTTGAGCTTGGACCTATTGATATGATATGGGTTGTCTAGTGGGGTAACCTCGTCTTTGCATCTGTCACTTATGCTAAAGGTCCTAATCCTCATTTAAAAATGATCGGAAAAAAGAGAGACAGGTTTCACTCAGAATGGGTAGCAAAAGAAAGTCTTCCTTCCACCCTTCCCCCTTGTGAAAAGGATATTGGGTTTATGGAATGATGATTATGTAAAAGCCATGATACACATCTCATTTAAGTCCGGAAAATCATGATTGCAATTTTAATGGTTGAAATTGAAACAGCCTGATGACTCTACATAACTTGATCTTTTTATAGAACACGATATGTCCACCACTGTATATCTTGAAATGTGAGAAAACCCAAATCATCTAAATCTCTAATGACAGAACAATGAAGTATTTCGGGGTCGTGCTCTTGGGTTCCAGAAGATCGAAGACGCACACGTAGGTGTGAAATCACGTACACCGCAAAGAGTAATTATCCACAGAAGATCCATTGTTAGCAAGAATATGTCCTCAAAAATAACGAAATTTAAATAAGGGAGTCACTAACTAAATGATGGCCACTGCCCACCTTCATCACGGTAGAATCAAGTAGAGGATACACTGTTAGCAAAACTCCGACAAGATACTTAAAGAAAAGGTTAAGATGGAAACATGCAACGCTTTTTGAGTCATGATACTTAGTCGTTGAAGAGTTCATTCAAGGAGAGTACAATCAAACCGTATTTTTATCAAAGGCGTTCATTTTGTTAGTGAAACTCGATCTTGAAACATTCTAAACTTCCAAGGCCAAAGGAACCTTTTATCAGGTCATCATTAATTGCCCCAGTTTCGTTTAATACTCCATAGAGGATTTGGAAGGAAGAATTTAAAATACACCAAATAACCGCTTCTGTTGAATTATTTTGTAAACAAAATGTGATTTTAATTATCTTACGATTCCGGGAAGAGCGATTGCTGAAATTGAATTAAGATGTTTTAAGATTAAAATTATGGAATCGAAAGTGATCGCAGTTGGCATGTATATCATCAAATGATTCCCCGAGGAGATAAAGGATAAAGTCTTGTTTCGTCTAAACAAATTAGTGATCAAATTTCTTACCCGTCGATCCAAGGAAAAAACTTGGGGAAAGAATGCACACTGAGTGTCTAGAGTTATCTGTCATGCCGTTTATCTGTCATTGAATTCCAGTCGAATAAGCAAGACGTACTTGACAGTTTTCGATTTCTTTTGAGTCGAAGCCTTGTTGTAATCCCACAGGAATGTGAAATCCTTGATCAAATCTTCTTCTTACTGTGTTTGCTCGTATTCACATCGAGATAAAACACCGCGTTGAAAGGTCGAGATGAACATCACTCAATCGTTTTCCAGAAACATGAGACATCAATACAATGTAAACAGCGCTTCCAGAAACAACTTGTTGCGAGTATCAGCGAGCAGAAATGTCAGGCCATCAGCGATCTTTTGAAAAATTGGTCTATTTTGTCTTCAAAAGAGCGTAAAACAAAGTTCTGCGGCGATAAAATCGAGGCGATCGGCAGGTACAGAGGGAAAGTGAGATTTAAATTCACCCTCCACCTCGCGGTAAGTCGTTCAGCCAATCAGACTATCGTTCGTTTGGAACAATTCACTTCCGGTGAAATCATAACAGACTTAAACTTCCGTTTTGATGCTCTCAGCTCGCCGGGCAACGTAGTGGTCTCTTCGGAATCTAATCGACATTTTCGTGAATCAAGAACTAACAAGACGATGATCGTACAGAGAGAGGTATCAGAATATTTTCAAATAAATCGTGATTTATATCATTAAGCACTGTAATTGCTTCTCGTTGAAGTGCTAAAGCTCTCAATTATGCGATGTATAAACACATTTCTTAACCGAAATTAATTTCTGACATGCCGCCTCAAAGACAATTACAACTTGCCAATGTGTTCTACATCATACATAACATCTTGTCTTTGTATTCTACTGAACATTTTGAGCTTGAAGTTGCGCAAATAAAATTGTGAAACCATAGGTTTTCAAGCTCCTCGGAATGCAACGATTAAACAAAAGATGAATTTTAATCATGTAGTTTTTCTGATGGCCAAATTTAAAGACCATAATTCCCTTTTGTAATTTTTTCTTTGAGTTACGTTAGATTGTTTAGACTTAATTGGGATTGCACCGATGATAGAAGCGCAGAGAAATGAAAAATTAAATAAAATAGAAAAATTCTTGACCATGGGAAGGGCTTAAGGTTTCGCAAGACTCTTAGGGGGTTTGCACAGGGAAGCAAGGCACACCAAGAATTCTGAATCTCCAAAATATCCCTTAAAAATTTATCACTTGCAGCTCAAACAAGCAAGAGAAATCGTTGATCTTACCTTACAACATTTTCATGCGCGAAATTGTCGATCTGCTTGAGAAGGGCTATTTCGCGGATGGTAGAGAGTGGCATTCCTTCATCGCCGTTGTTTACAATTCTCACTCTTTTCAAAGCCACAAAACGGCCTTCGTTTTGAAGATCGCGGGCTTTATAAACAGTACCATAAGCCCCATTACCGATCTCGGCCACCTCTTCGTATTTCTGGGCCATTGCTCAGAATTTCGAAGCAATCTGCGGGGCGAGGATCAAGCTCTCATTCTTTGATGTGCTTTGTTCACTTTAGCGTGACATGGCGAAGCCTCTGGGGTTGACACAAGATTCTCTCCCGTCTTATCGCGTTGACCAACTGCAAGGATTGCCACCAAATCCTAAGAATCTGGTCTTCAATCTTCCATGGAGGTCCACCTTCTGTTTCAGAGACCTGAGCTAAAGACAGAATCGGATCGTCCGCTAAAAGAGTTTAGAGATTTGATAGTGCTTCATAAATGCAAAGTAAATATTCAACTTTCAATTCCGCTCCAGTCTCGGAGGAATTGGGGGCCGCATACGGTTTCAATTCAACAGGTATTTGGATCAAACAATGCCTAAGAGGTAGAATAATCACACTTTTCCCTAAATCCGCCGGCCAAATCGCGATCATCACGCTAGGCCCACCTAAAACTTACTTTGATCAAGTACACAGCCCCGAGCTCGAATGAATGAAAAAGTCTGATTAGGCCTTCTCAATAAAGCTGAGGTTGCAAGGTCCGCTGCCCCGACCACGTGCGCGCGATTACGTCTATTTATTTCCTGTTAATTTTGATTGGTTGCCGAGGGATTCCGCTCTGTGTATCGGAATGCGGGCCAACTCATTGGCTTACATTTGTCACGCCCTTGACGAACCCGGCCAATAGAGGTAATTAGAGCTCCCACAAAATATAATTTTCTACTTGGAAAAAGAAAAGAAACACGACGACCACCTACTGGATAGAAACGGAAAACGAATGCTGGCAAATAAAATGTTGTCTCTTAGCACATGGCTCGACATCTGTGAGCCAGCTCAGATTTCACTTTCCATACCACACAAACTGCCATAATCAATATGCAACATGCAAAGAACAAATCTGCGTCAACAATAAGACACGATCTCGAAACCTCTCGAGTTCAACTGTACGTGAAACATAGGCTTTAGTCTTGAAAGCCATCAACATCGTTATCCCAAGAGGTGGAGATCTCGAGCACATTTCTTAGATCATATCATAATTGACTTTGTCCGTTGTCGAGGCAACAGATCGATCGATTACAATATCGGAAATTGAGTGACAGATGTCTTGTGCACGCAGTCGCCGCAAAACCTGGTCTTAATGCAACGTTAAGAAAAGCGATAACCAAACTGTTTACTGCTAAAAATTGACAAAGGAGCGGCAAGGTGGCACGGCCCAATAATTTCTCACGAACAACCTGCCTGGCCGTCACGGTGAAAGATTTTCACATTGAGTAACAAGGAGTTGATTGATTTCATAAATATATTTAGAAAACTTGTTTGGAATTCCCTCGTGGACGTCGGAACACAGAGACTCCCTGATAATATAGATTTTTGTATTACTACTGCAAATCTGATTGTTCACGCGACAACTTCCGATACCGAAATATGATTTCGTGTTTTCTAGATAGTTGCCTAACTGAGTTTACTTCATTAAATGTGAATGCATAAATCTCGTTATTGTTTTGCGCATTTCTGTCTGACTTCCCACAGTAAGAATGCGTCACTGGTCCCACGAGGTTACCTCAGTTTAGAAAGAGTTCTGCATATTTTCTCTTTGCAAAAATTTGTTCATGTGGAGATGAATTTTTTTTTGGTGTCTCTTCTTATTTACTGAGCAATCGAAAATAATCAACTGTTTCGTCTGAAGATGGTGTATATAGTAGAGAGGAAAAATAATTTCGCCTTACTCTTGATGCACATACAAATTCTCAATACTATAGCAATAGGGACTTATAGCAACGAGTAAGGAGAGTGCATATGTTGCACTGGTCGTAATAAGGAAAAATATCCAACCCATAAAACTCGACTGGATTTTTTACTGATGATCAAGTTCATTAGTTTCTAAAGCCATTATAAATACGATCTATCAAAATTCACCTCTAAAAGGACGAGAAAATAAGGTTTTGTTATTTACCAGAAAGAACAGTTAGATGAGACTGAACAAAAAATGATTGAGGTCTCACAAACTTGCACCTCTAAAGGAATTTATCCCAAAGGCTTACGCTAATTTTATTTACTAATCATTAAACTCGTACATGGCTCATGCACAATAATAAGATTCCTTGGCCAATTTCTGTTGCAGTCAAAAGTTACACCAGCGGAACGTGCGTTGTGCGCATTTGTAAATAGTAACTCGGCCATTCTTCTGCGGTTGCGGTCATGAGTCGGTCATGAGAAGTGTGTGGGCGGCACCTGTTTCTAGGAGTGGTATTTTGAGGCTATTGATAACGCTAACAGTGCCCTGTACATGTCGCTAATTAACGTGAAGTTAGTCATTCAAGTTAGATTCGTGATGGAAATGAAGAGACTGGGGGTTAGCTCTCTTTTGGTAGCAAAAAGTACACGAGGGAGGCAAGACATGACAGGAAAGCTATTGCGGTTTTCGCTTTTTGCGCTATTACGACCCTCTTTTTTTCCTACATTCTGGTTCTACATTGACAGTTTTTTCATTTTTCTCTTTTTTTACCATTCGTTATCATTTTATCACCATAGGATAATTTTGTGGTTCTTAATCTGTTTTCTAGTTGTAGATAGTAGTTTCACAAAGAGAAGAGGTATCATTAACTTTGTTCTTTCCTCTTTTCCAAAAGTTTTTTTTTCATCGCGCAGTTTTCTGTTTGTTTATGTTTCTGTTTATTTGCTAATTTGTTTGTTGTTTGTTTGTTGTTTATTTATTTGTTTATGGTTTACGTATGCCAATGAAATGGGTACCTTTAACATATTAATAATAACCTTGGTAAATAAACTTGTAGTCCAATGAAATTTCCTCTTTCTAATTTGATGAAATACCAACAGAGATTTTCTTAGACTTAACTCTTCATTTCTATCGTTTCTGATACTTAAATCTGAAGTTTGCCCTCTTATCGTTGAAAAATAGATAAATCTATTTATCTAGATAATCCACAAAAAGACGTTCTGTTTTCGAGAGCACGAAATTCGCACTGTTTGGCGCTCCCACTGAACAGACAAACACGCTATCAACAAATTAACCCTTTCATTCCTTAGATCTTACTAGTAATTCTCCTTACTGCCTGACATACATTTCTTCTGATGTTAGTTTGGAGAATTTGGTATTAGATCGACGAATAACTCCCAATTAATAGTTTCTTTTATTCTCATCAGTTGTCTGCCTGATACAGTAACGTCACTGTAAGAAGAAATTCGGTCTTGGTCACTTATGGTTGAAAGGAAAGAGCGAGCCATCGAACGATATGGTGCAGGGGATCCACACCCAGTGAAATATATACAACTCGTTTAAAGATGAAAAAAAAAAAAGAAAAAAACAAGGTTATTAAAAAAGGCCTGACCTCACAGCTTTTGATAACTTAGCTAATGAAGACAGAACTGATCCAAGACTTTCGATACTTTCGCCGAAAAGTAAACACCCACATTCGGTTTCGAAAGTTCACCATTAGGGTCAGTCTCGCAGATCATATCGTCGTAAATAACTGATTAAATTTCAAGCATGAGCTGTTTTTCCTTTTCAAAGAAGGTTTTGGTTCTAGATCTGTTTGTTTTCAGTAAAAATGGTGTCCTATAAGAGATACCACTTCATTGCATGTCGCCTTTCTGCACATCAATTATACCATTAGTGTGACATACGCTCACCGCAAATATCAAATTCTCAGGGCTGGCCGACCAAAAAATCATGGTCATCAATTGAGAGAATTTGCTTACAGAGTGATATAAGATGGCAAGACCGTGCTTGCAGAAAGGGCTTGAAACGTCTCATGTCATTTGTAATGGGACTTCATCGTCATGATATAATCAAACTTGAGTCAAAATCATGTTAACCAAGTTCCTTTAGTTTGCGCAAGCACACAAAACACTGCAGTCTGTACAATATTTCCACTAAGTAAACTTTTACGAGCTCATTGTTAGCCGTACAAAATTAATCAGGACACAGTTTAGCTCTGATCGCTGAGGAAGTATGTTGCCTCTGGAATGTTCAGCTATCAAGTTCACAGAAAAGAGGAAGCCTGCGGTCTTTTTTTTGCTATGGTATATTCGGAACGAAAGGGCACACCTTGAAATTCAATGCATAGCCACTTAATTTCTCCAACGTTTATTGCATTACTTGTGAGCCTATTTCTCCATTTAACTTTCCTCCTAAATTGCTCCCACGCATCGGAAACCAACGTTACACAAACCTAACGAAAACACTTCAGCCTGAAGTATAAAGATGCCGAAACACGTTTCAGGAAGTCGAGTTTGAGTTCTTGTCGCGTTTCGATTGGCCTTGATCAATAAACATTTCTGTTTGAGTTTGAGGAGAGTGTATATTCTTGGCCTCGCTTGACAACAGCATATTGATTCAATATATTACTTTAAGTGTCTTGGAAAATAAAGATTGCAATCGTGTTTCCGGTTCACTTGGGTTCTCACGCAAGAATCGATGGGGCTTCTGCTCTGTTTTAGAGACGAGATGACACGATTCTTGTAAACATATTACAATTGAATCAAAATAAAGTACCACTAAGGCTCCATATGCGTCTGTTTTTATGGTCATAGGAGACTAAACAGGAATAATTGGTTAAGCCAGCTAATTCATTACTTTTTTGGAATTTCGACCCGGTCATAATATCCAAAAATATTTCAAAGAACTCCTCCTGTTTTAAACGCAACCAAGACGTAAAGTTACCCTAAATAAATAACAAACACGCGATAAGCAAGATCTTTCAGAAAAATGTGGTTATTAAACATCAAAATTGTCGTGATACGGTTGGAAGAGAAAAGCACCCCGTGTACCCGCTTTAAATTTCACGCACGTCGATCCCAGCTGGCATGAAGAGAAGATATCTTGGAAAATAAAGTATTGTCAATATCTTTCAACGTGGTCAACAAAAGAGATGAATTGACTCCTTGTAACACTTTTTTTGTGTCTCGAAAAAAGACAAGGTTACATAACCTATGTCTGAATGAAAAATTACCAACCATACTATTTTAGAAGTAAAAATTCCTTGACTCTCTCGGAAAAGAGATACATACGATCACCCTTTTTTTAGAATAAATCAGTAAAATTGGTAGACTTGCTGATAAAGATAACAGGTTTAGGAATTGTGCTAGAGAGACGCATTTGCCGTTGTAAATATGGCAAAAAAACTTTGACGCACTGACAATGCATTTACAGTATCATAAAGAACCAGGCTCGGCGCTCACGCACGTAGAAACACTGGAGTCACTGAGCTCGTGAAAAAACAGAAACTCGTGATATTAAGGTACTACCGATGTGTTATTTGATATATCAATGGCGATCAAATTCCTACGGGCAACAGAAGACTCACTAAAATTCACCTCTCTCCCATCGTGGGGCTTCGAAGTCAATTTGATAGTGGCCCTCAACAGTATTTGGTAACCCCACCGGTATAAGTTCCGTGGGAGCTTCAAATCTTTTTTCGGAATTTACTCTCTGAAATTACCTCAGTTATTAGTTATCGGTAGGAATCAACGTACCA